CCCAAATACTTACCATGGAAATCTTGGTCACTGCAAAGTCACAAGTGCCACCGAGGTCTTCAGAAATGTAGGCCTCCTTCTTCTGTTGCCCCTACCTGATACCATTCATGGGGTGGACGTTAGAGCCACAATTGCACTGAAACAATTCTCTCCTTTCAACTTAATTTTTAGATCCCACTCATTCATTAAATCCTTGATAACTCTGCACGTTGCCCTTTGTGCTAAGAAGGTGGGCAGCTACCTTTGCCGATCGAATAGCCGCCTGGCGCATCCCTTACTTTTTGTGCCGTCGTGAGCACGTCTTTCCAGGGTGAGACCAGTTCTATGGGTCACCAACACCTTATAGAAACGTTGAAGAAACAGGGTGGTTTCGGTGCTGCCTTACTGGAAGTGAGCTTTATCATCAGCATCTCCAATTAAGAAAATTAAGTGCAAGGGGAAACCCCAGTGCTTGAGGTCCTGGAGGGTGAGCCAGGATGGCTGCTGCCAGTCAGAACCCAAGAACAGGGGACGGGACCGACAAGAGTTGCCTGCTCGGCTCTGTTTCGTCCTTCTTCTTTTTTGGATAGCCAGTAATTTTCAGTGTGGGATGACTGAGGATGATTCCAGGTTCAGGAGAATCGGCAGAGCCACTCTGATTTTAACTCTTTCTCTGAGCTCTCCATGGTGCTGAACCGGTTTTCCAGTATAGGCTTCAGCATCTTGGTTAACTCCTGGTTGGTAGACTGGAGACTAGAGAAAACTCCATCTCCCTTGAATTGCATGCGTCTGAGCAGCAACCAACCAACCAACCAACCAACCAACCAACCAACCAACCAACCAACCAACCAACCAACCAACCAACCAACCAACCAACCAACCAACCAACCAACCAACCAACCAACCAACCAACCAACCAACCAACCAACCAACCAACCAACCAACCAACCAACCAACCAACCAACCAACCAACCAACCAACCAACCAACCAACCAACCAACCAATCCAACCAACATTTCAATACATAAATGGATAGCCAATAAATACTGTGCTTCTGTTTGCCTCCATAAAGTGAAAGGTCTCGGACTTATCATGGCCCCTGTTATCGATGGCAGGGGTCTAAATGCCCCTCTCTCCTGGCATGGTGGTTCCGTGAGGTGGCCAGGAAGGAGGGTATCAGGATGCTGATGCAGGTCGAGGGGGGGTCATAAAGGCATGCAGCTCTGTTAGGGGGAGGAGAACAGATCATTAAAAAATCTCTGTTTTCCTTCTCTGATAGAGGTTTTAGTTACATTTTGGGGAGCATAAGAGCAATACATGGGTTTTGAGCTCCATGGGGGTCTGGTGCCTTCCACCCCAGTGTTATTGAAGGATGGAGCGTACCTTACACTGAGTTCTTAGATGGCTGATCTTTTGAAACCATGGTTGTTGACTATGCTAGGCAGTGATTGCCTGGAAGGCCAGGAAGGAATTTTACAAACTCACCTGGACCTGCTGGGGGATTTGAATCCAGAACTGTCTGTGTTCCATGTGTGTGTGTTGGACCACTGAGTTAGATACCCCTATTCCAACTCCTTTGTCTTAATTGCTCATTGACTTTACTGTGTTCTGAGTCTAACAATGTTTCCTCTGCATCCGGGCCATCTTTGTTAAGGTCACCCCAAAGTTCCTCCTCAACTCCCAGGCTGTGGGGCTCCCCAGACTGGTCGGCCATCCTTGGAAATGGGGAAGGCTATCCTGCCCCATTTTCCTTAGGCAGAAGGGGGGAGGGAAATCATGCTAGCGAAACCTAGTTCTTCATTGCCCGTGCAGACCATCCCATCACCAGGGAGCGTGGAGCAGAATGTTTCAATCGCAGAACTAACGAAGCAGCAATTACCTCTTACCGAAGAGGTGCCTTCGGTAATTGGACGAGGGAGTTCCTGACCCTTTCGCTGGCAATTCAAAAGGGGGGGGGGAATCTGTGATCAGAAGCTCTGATCCACACAGGCAACAAGACCGAGGGCTTGGAAATGTTTTCGCTCAGGTGCCTGACAAATTTGCACTGGCTTGTCCTCCTGAATCACAAAATCCAAATTAGTCCAGAACAGGTTTCCTGCCCCCCCCCCCCAATGTGGCTGTGAGGTCTTACGAAATTGATCTATAGGTGGTGGTGTTTGTTTCTTAGTATATTATTTGAGATTTGTTTTATTTTATGTTTGCGTCACTTTGGACGTAAACCACCCAGAGGAGTTTTTCATCATTAATCCATAAAATTTACAGGTTTGTTTAATAAATAAATAAACAAACCCATAGAATAAAAAGTCTATGATCCCAAGGAGTGAATGGGGTCTCTTCTAGTTGAGCTTTGTGACTGGACGCTGGCTCCTGTCTTTTGATATTTCTTCTACCTAGAGTGAAGGGCATGGGAGAGTGGAGAGAATAACGTTGTTCTTTGGCTAACACAGGGCTGCAAAAGTGGAATTCTGGAACTTAATTACAGGGAATCTCTGTGCAGGAAAGTCTGTTTTTGGTATCTGCAGGGCAGAAGTATCCACAACCTACACCATCCTCCATTAATCGATTTTTCTTCCTATCTCGGCATAATTCCGGCTTGCTGTCATCCCACTTCCCACGCAGTCCACTTTGGTGGTTTCTACAAAGTGATGAAGAAGCTTTCTAAATCTGGACCCTGTTTATGGTTCTATTGATTGGCCTTTTTGAAAGTTCGAAAAGGGGACTGGTGGAGGGGGGAGCTGCTTTTGGAAGATGTAGAAGCCACGCGACAATCTTGTAGTCCAGATTGCACGATGGGCTGAAGGCCAGCGCATCACTAAACCAGGCATAAGGTAAAGTTAGCCGAGGAGAGGCCCTGGAAAACTGAAATAGTCATGGATTCCGTGGGGTTTTCTTAGTGACCTGAGTATTGCAAACGGAATGGCCTTACAAAGATGTGATCCCTACCTCTTTTATCAGCTAACAAAGCAGTAACAGCAGGAATAGGCTGAATATCAGGAAAAACTTCTTAGAGCTGTATGAATTTAGAACTCGTGACCTGGGGAGGGGGCGAGCGCTCCAACGCTGGAGGCCGTCAAGGGAAATTTACACAACCCTCTGTCCGATCTGCTCGGATCGGGATTCCTGCCTTGAGCAGGGGGGTTGGACTTGATGGCCTTAGAGGCCCCTTCCAACTCCATTACTCCAGGATTCTATAATTCTATCATAGGAACTCAAGCTATACTGAATGCTCCAAAACATACACCCTTCGGTCCATTCACCAATGCTGTAGCAAATTAGGAGTCGCCTGCAATGTAGAAATGTCTCTTGGAAGCAAAATGGGCCAGGAGCGAAGTCCCTGATAATTTTGTCGCCCAAAGCGGGAGATCCACGGCACCAAGGAAAGAGCTCCACCTTGGAGGCCCTAATAAAATGCAGATTCAAATACAAATATAGAAAATCACTACCAACGCTGTCACAGCCACTGTGTCCTGGCACTGGGTGAGATGGAAGTCCAGGCTTTCAAAACAGATCCTCTGTAACCTGCTGGGGTTTCGGGTGACCTCATGGCCCCCATACTTTTTTATTGAGTGATTCCTTTTAAATAAATGATGCCAGAAACCGAAACTAAAGCTTCCTCCTGTTTGGGGATTATGAATCTCTATAGCAACACAATCTGTCCCTAGCATTTGGGAACCCACAGTTTGAGCTGATTTTTCAATGTTTTTAGTTGGTTGGATTATTTGGTTTTTTTTTTGTTGTTGTTGTTTTTGGTCAGTTTTGTGAATACACGTCTTTTATTGATTTTAGCCTTAAGCAAGTGTGAGTCATACGCAATGTCACTTTAATTTTAAATCCCTTAGACTGGTTTTTTTAAAAATACAATGAGTTAAAAATAAGTTGTGGCCCAAGCCGGAGAAAAATCTTTACAAAGAATTTGTATTGGGGAGGTGTATTTTTAAATGAAAGTACTTTGCAGAAGCTGACGTTCTGATCCTTAGCAGGTATCATTTGGGTTGCGTATGCTGAGCTTCTACGTGAGTGCAGGAAAGGTGGACCAGGTGTAGAAAACCTGCTACTTCAGAAATCCAGCTTTTGTTTTCTTGCGTGAAAACTATGTTCGTAGACTTTGCAGTTGCATGTCTGAATGTGTGATCATTGCCTGCTGCTTTCTCGCTGTTAAAAGTGTCCAGGGGTCAAGAAGTATGAATGCAACGCTCATGCAAAACTTTCTCTTCCTCATTACGATGCAAGGAGTGGAGCAGACTTCTGGCTGCACAAGCAGCCCCTGTGCAAATTGTGGAGAGGAGATTCCCCCTCCTGGCTCTGCCCTCCCCTGCTTCTGAGGCACGCAAAAGCCCACTGTGTTGTCATGTTTTGACCCTCAAATTTCAGCAGCTCGGACACTGCAGGTAAAGGTAAAGGTTCCCCCTTGACATTGAGTCCAGTCATGTCCGACTCTCAGGTGCGGTGCTCATCCCCATCTCCAAGCCATAGAGCCAGCGTTTGTCCATAGACAGTTTCCATGGTCACGTGGCCAGCACGACTAGACACAGAACACCGTTACCTTCTCACTGAGGTGGTACCTATTTATATACTTGCATTTGCATGCTTTCGAATTGCTGGGTTGGCAGGATCAGCAATTTCTCACCAAACTAAGAATCTCTGGCATGCTTTCAAACTGCTGGGTTGGCAGGATCAGCAACTTCTAATCCTCACCAAACTGAGAATCTCTGCATTCTTTGAAGTAAAACCATGCCCACGATGATGGGGTAGAAGAGAGGTATGTAGATAGAATCCCAGTGCTTAAAGTGAACTCAGAGGTCATCTAGACCAACCCCATGTCCGTGCATGAAATCCACTGCAGAGTACATAGGTGCGGGGTTAATGCTTTATATGTTGTTTAAAATGTTTCATATGTCATTGAATTCTTCTGTGAAGTTCTTTAGGCCTGGAGGTCTATATTGCTACTTCCTGGGGCTTGGTTTGGAGGTCCCATTTCCCTTTCAGCTGCTAACTTTCTCCCCTCCCCATAGGCTCAGCAACGGGTGAAGATGTGAAAGATGGCTGACGGTCCTCCACCGACCGCAGGCCCTTCTGCCACAGAGTCTTCTCCTCAGCACGGAAATGCGGCGTCTCCCAAATTAGCCAGTGTCCTAGATGGTTCCGGAAGAGAAGAGGACTGGATGGGCGGCCATGGGAGTGAACTGATCTTTCCCTTAGATGTGGAGGAAGAGGTTGAGGCTGAGTTGCCCGGCGACTTTCCCAGGTGCAAGGAGAGTAAGAAAGAGCAGGTCCACCCAGAGGAGTCCGCCTCGCTGGCGGCTTCCCCAGCCACGTCTCCTCCTGAGCCGGCTTCTCTCCCCGTTTTTAATTCGCGTAGCTTCCCTCCTCAGAGGTCTGCCGTCCTTATCAACCCTCAGGGCCCCAAACCGTTCATCAACTTGGTGAAGTCGGTCTCCACCGAGATCGAGTCGCGCGAGGGCTCCCCTCTCAAGCCTCAACCCTTGTTGAGTTTAGTCAAGTCCATCTCCACGGAGATCTCCCGCCTGGAGCCCGAAGTGACGCCATCCAAGTCGGATTCCAAGCTCAACGTCCACCTCTGGCGGCAGATCACCCAGCCCAAGGGCAAGAATGGGGACTCCCGGACGGCCCCGTCCTCGCCGAACACCTCCCCGTCCGAAAGCAAAGGCAGCTTCTTCAAGGCCCAGGAAGCCAAGTTCGAGGACACCAAGCGGCGGTTCTCGGAAGCCATGCAGGAGCCCCTCCAGAGGCTCAGCAAAATCATGGGGGACGAGAACAACGTGTCGCCGAAACATAAGCCGTCGCCTTGCGGCAGCCATCCCCAGGACTCCCCTTCCGGCCACGGAAAGGGGTCCACCCTCTCGGAGACCAAAGCGGAAGGCCTCGGCCCCGATAGGGACCAACTCGGGACCCTTTCCAGCCAGTCGTCCAGAAAAGGTCCGACGGAGAATTCCCCCCTCGCGGAGCCAAAATGGGAACCTTCTCTAAACTGCCGTTACGAAATCTGCTCCTACGGAGACATCATCCAGGTGGTGGAGGTGGCCCAGGACGGCGTCCCGGAGGACGGGCGGACGCTACGGCCTCTCGGTGCCCTCCAACCGGCCGAGCCTTGCAGCGCAGTGCCCTGCCGAGCCCTCGCCTGCATCGCCATCTTGGCCTACAATTATTTTGTCCTCCCGTTGCCCCCCTACATCTCGGGGCTCTGCCTTGGTGTGGTGTGTGGCTTCCTTTTGGGCTTCCTGATCATCCTCTTGCTGGTGCCAACACGACCCCGGTCTCCACGCCAAAGGCTGCCTCCTCGGGATCCGTGGCCCTCCGCGGCGCTGGGTCAGCAGCCCCGAGAACCCAGCCTGCTTCAGGTAAGAGGCCGGTTCCAATCCCCACCGCCAGTAAAGGACCGTCTTCTAAACGGTCCCCGATTCCACCGTACCGCTGGCCTTTCCGCACTAAACCGAGACGTTTCTTAGCAGGGCTGGATGAACGAAATGTATTTTTACGACCCGGAAACCTTCCACCCGTCTCTGAGCCATTCGGTCTTCGTCGCTCTGGAAGATGCCAGCCTGAAGCTTTCCTACCCAAAGAGCAACATTCCCCGGCGGGCCACGTTTGAGGAAGTGATTGTCGACGTGGCGTTTGTGAGCCACCGACACTATGAGCTGAAGGGGGCAAAGGTGAGTCTTGGATAGGTGAGCAGCATCCTTCCTCTTGAGATGGAGGACAAGCAGATGATTGGTCTTTGGGATCTGCTTTGGAAGAATCAGTGACCGAACCACAGAGGTGGGTCATCACATCCACCCCCTTTTTTTCCAGGTCTTCCTGTTGCCATGTGGGCTAGCCCGGAAAAGGACGTGGAACAAGAAATACCCCATTTGCATCCGCTTCCCAGACCCCATGGACCCGGACGGCCAAGGGCACAGCGGGCAGGAAGCGGAGCCTCTCAAAGAGAGGAGGAGCGTCAAGAAAGGACAGAGCGCCAGCCCAGAGACCCCCCTGGCGCGCCCAGCGGCCGAGTCCCAAGAGAGAACGCTTTATCTCTTTGGCCGCACCGGGAGGGAAAAAGAGGAGTGGTTCCAGCATCTCGTGAAGGCGTCCCTTGCAGAGGGTGGACTGCAGCACAATGCCAATCCAGGTGAGCTCCGAGCACGTATGGCCCCCGGTGGAGCACAAGGTTCCAGCTTCTGTCAGACGCTTTTGAACCCGGGCATCTTTGAGAAAAGCCAGGAGAAAACCCAGAAGCCCCTAGCCTTTGTGCTGGGAGTGGGGGCTTTTGATGGATTCTAGTTCTCACCACCGTTTTCCCACCCCAAGCTCTGTATTAAGCTTAAGCGATGAGAGATGCTCCACAGATTTACCCATTGTGTTCATTTGCTGGCTAGATTGCTCAGCGAGGTAGGTCTCTTTCCCTTCTGTGTCTCCCAGGAGAAGAGCCAGCCTGGGTGGCCTTGGGCCAGCTGCACACAGCCCCAGGTTGCCCCCAGAAGAAGGGGCTGTTAAACCACTTCTGGGTACTCACTAGTCCAGCTTTTATGTAGGGCTAAATTAAGCCAAACTGTTAGACTAAACTATTTATTTCTGGGCTGTCATGTATACCCACTGTAATCAGGGCTTTGAGCCTGTTGCAGAGTTTTGAAATTCTGGTTAAAGTCCTCTAGCTGTGTAGCAGAAGTGCAGGGGATCCACAGAGCAGAATATTTTCCCCCTAGCAGTCCATCTCCTTTCATTAACTAGCACTTGCCGTCTCAATAATTCAGTCGGACACATTAGTAAGAGAAAGAATAAAAGGTTTTGTTACCGTTGAACAGATCAGACAGCAAACTGATGGACGTGGCTGCTTTCAGCAACAGACTTCCAGGGACTGCAGAAAGGGAAAGAGCTCTCTGCAGAGAGATGGGGTTCTCTTTGAACTCGTAGACAGGGAAGGAACGATTGGTTAGTGCTGGATAGATTGCACTCCAGCCCAAAAGGTCCCTCCCAGTCAAACCTACTAAAAGCAGCCTGCAAGGTTGCAAAAACTCTGAAAGAGCTAGGACACCAAAATGTAGAGGACAGCAAAATAGGTGGCAGGAAAGGCCCCATTGGTATCTGCTGCTATTCAGGCAGATCTAAGCATGCCTCCCCACCTACTAGTCTGTTGTTGAAAGCAGTCATGTTTGTCAGTTTGCAATTTGATCTTTTTCCATTGTAAGTAATGGAACCTTTTATTCTTTCTCTTACCTAGCTCTGGAAAGCAGGGTGTAATTATGGAAAGAGACAACGGGTGGTGGGATTAACTTAGGAAAATGCGGGACGGCAACCTTGACCAACTCATCCTTTCTCACTGCCAGGTTTCAACCAACTCAGCCCTTCAAGCAAGGGGACGTACAGCAACTGCAGCAGCCGGGGGAGCACGGAAGACCTCCCGTCGGCGGTCAAGCCCAAGGACCTCATCGTGAATGTCCGAGAGGAACTCCTCTTGGGTTATGACAAGTACATGTCTCAGCTCGTCCCACCAGCGAACGGATCCAGCCCACTCGAGAGTCCAAATGCCACAGGCAGCTCGACTCCACAGAAGGTGAGAAAGCGTTCTTCCGTCCAGGAAGCCTGGGTTCAAATGAGACGTTATGGAAAGGTACACCAAATTTGGGCTAAATATGCCATCGAGTTTGCGGTGTCCCTGGTGGAGGGCTTTCCCCTGTGGAAAGCTTTCAAAGAATCATTGAATAACTGAGTCGGGAGGACCCTCGAAGGCCATCAAGTCCAACCCCCTGCTCCAGGCAGGGATCCCGATCAAAGCAGATGCGACAGAGGGTGGTCCAGTTTTCTCTTGAAGGCCTCCAACGTAGGAGCGCTCACCCACTTCCTGAAGGAATGGGTTCCATTGTCGTACTGCTCTAACAGTTAAGAAGTTTTTCCTGATTCAGACCAAGGTTAGATGGTCAAAGGCAGCACAGAAATGTTAAAGCCATAGCAAAAGAGCATTTATCCAGCAAATTCTCCCCAGTGGATTTTCCTTGTAAATGTTTACATATTGTCCCAGGTTGTTGTCGTTGTCCCAGTTTGCCAAACTGGGAGTTAATGATCCCTTTAAAAAGGCCCGAGCAAAGTTTAAAATCTGGGATGATCTCGGAGTTTCTTCAAAGCCCAGTTTTTGAAACAAACTCTGGGACTCCAGAATGATTCAAACGTGCACCAAACAGTGCTGTCCATCTGTTTGTTCTGACATTCAGGGATTTGCATGAAGCTTTTTGTCGGACTTTAATCTTCTGTCCTTTAAATATGGCCTGAATTGACTTTGCAAGACACTTTTCTTCCAGTGAATTGAACAGGAGCTGGGGATAGAGTGGGCACAGGGGGGGGAGAGAGTCCTATTTTATTCATCCTGAGGCTCGGGGTGAAAGAGAGATGCTGAATGATTGTAAACCAGCCATGTTTGCAAGCTGAGCCTTTTTCAATGGTGACCTTCCAGATCCTCTGCCTGCGGGCGGCCCTGCTCTCCAGCTTAACAGCCACTGAGATATAGGGACTGTTCTCTCAGCTGGAGTTTTTACAATCTCTCATGCTGCTTGTAGATTGAGTGACTGGGAGGGACTTTTCTGGAGACTGTCAATCCATCAGTCACTAACCAATCATTCCCCTGCACCTCTGAATTCAAAGAGAGCCCGCCTCTCTGCTGAGTGGCTCCTTTCCTTCTCTTCTGTCCGTTGAAGCAGTTTGTTTGTTTGTTTGTTTGCTGTTGATCTGTTCACAACTGTGAGTAGTGAAACATGTTTTTTGTTTTGTTTTCTCCTACAAATGTCTCAGAGTGAGTTATTGGGACTTTTAAGTGCCGGTTCATGAAAAACAGGGTAGACTCTTTGGGGAATGCGAAGCTATTTTTGTCTAGACGTCTCTTTACTTCTGCTGCATCGTGCGATTTTACTAGAAATTCAAAACGTGGCAACGCGCTCTCCATTTTGTTCTTTGCAGTTCCCTGGAGAGGCAGACATCACCAGCGAGCCCCACACAGCGTGGGTTAATGCGCTGCTGGGGCGGATGTTCTGGGACTTCCTAAGGGAAAAATATTGGGCGGACCAAGTTTCAAACAAGATCCAGAAGAAGTTGGGAAGAATCAAGGTGAGGAATAAGCACCAGTGCTCTACCTGTATCCTCTGTTAAAGGGTTGATAACACTACTTAGCAGTTTGAGTCATGTCCTTACTCCATAGGAGTCCAGCAAAGTAAACTTTTATTTCCAATGAATCATGACCACCCAGCAAACTCTTTGTGGCTATTCACTCACTCACTCACTCACTCACGCACTCACGCACTCACGCACGCACGCACGCATTCAATTTCTATACCGTCCCATTAGTGCAAGGACTTCATTGAGTATTTTAAGACTGCCTGTTTATTTGTGATTTCTCCCCCCCCCCTTTTTGGTCCACTCCAGCTCCCCTACTTCATGAACGAGCTCACGCTCACCGAACTGGACATGGGAACGTCCATCCCTCAAATCCTCAGTGCGTCGAGCCCAACCGTTGATAAGCGGGGTAAGTCGAGACGGCGTGGGGATGAGTGAGATCACTTAACATACCTCAATGGGTGGGCAGGCATGTAGAACATCTACAGAGTGAGACCCGTCAGCCTTTCTGGCTTAAAGGGATGTGTAAAAGCTTTCAGGAAGGCATCTGATGGGCATCTCTTGCTGCCTCAGATCTTGGAGACACCAGGAATCGAACCTGGGACCTTCTGAATGCAAAGTGTGTGGTCTGTCACTAAGCATGGGTCCCTTGCTTCTCTGACCAGGATGGGTGGCCGGAATGGAGCAGGGGAGACTCTAGAAGGGCTCTGTGCTCTATGTATAAAGGCAAAGGGCAGAAAACTCATGGAATCTTGGAGCGCGTCGGGTCCGGCCGTTGCTGACCCTCGGTCGCTAAACCTCCTGTAAAGTAGTTGCATATCTGAGAAATGGTCAGTCGGTAGGATCTCTGGCCAACCGTTCTCCCTGGCATGGCCTCTGGTCCTTGTGGTTCAGCCATAGCATCTCACGTTTTCCTCCACCGCTCTGCAGGGCTTTGGGTGGACCTGGAAGTGACCTACAACGGATCGCTGCAGATGACCCTGGAGACAAAGATGAACCTGTACAAGCTGGGCAAAGAAGCCATGGGAGAAGACGGCAGGAAGACAGACAACGGCCAGGATGGGTAAGGTGGCGGAGGTTGCTGCTGCGTTAGATAAGTTGGCAACCTTGGCATCTGGAAGAGAAGTGAAATGAATAGGCTTTGCAAATAATGGATCTAATCCCACTTTGTGTTATTTATTTCCCTCGGATTTAATCTTCCTGGGCACTCCATCTAGATTGGACCCCCACCCCACCCCGTACGTATCTGTCCGTGTGCGATGGAGGCAGAGGGTAAACAAGCGATTAGAGCTTCGTCCCACAAAAAGCTCACCACAGCCTGCGTCCCCTCTCTCCTTCCAAATCCCGTAGTTTAGCAACGAGGAGCCCCTGGCAGCCATTCAAGATGACCATCTGCATATCGGGTGGGCCTGCAATCCAGGCGGGGGCCAAAGCGGCCGAGCATGAATGCCATGCGCTGGGTACATCAGTAATTTAATTGCAACAGCCCAGGAACCCACAATTTTCATTTGCCTCTTGTGGGTGGGGGCAAATCCGATGGGACGGCTCCACGGATTTGTGGAGTTGGTGGTGGGGGGCATTAACTGCAGGATTTACTGTATCCCTGAAGAGCGCAGCAGAGGTTAAATTCTCGAGATGACAAGGAAGAAGAAGTAAGCATTCACTGGGAGGCTTACTGTTCAGTGATGCAGGCGATGTGTTGCCTCCTCTCTCAATCCGAGCAAATTTGGTATTCAGTTTATAGACCTCGGAAGGATGGAAGGCTGAGTGAACCTCGAGCCGGCTGCCTGGGGCTGAGTCCGGGTCATGAGCAGAGGCTCCTATCTATAGTTCATGAGATTTTGGCCATCCTAGATTCCCCCTCACCCCACCGCCGATCTTCCCTGTCTGATTTTGGGGAGGAGGAAAAGTTGGTTTTTCTAAACCGGAATGATCTGTGCTGACTGGTCGGTCTAATGAATGTCATGTTGAGATTCCGTTCCGGGCAAGGGTGCTCTCAACATTTGCAACGTGGTGTCGTCGGTTTGTGTAGGTCTGCTCTCCAAACCACCCTCCCGCTTCCCCCAAGGGCGCCGTTTCCCTCTCCAGTGGGGTGCTTGAGCAGAGGAGCTTGCTCGACCCACTGTTCCTCGCGGGAAGGGTGCCCGCTCTGTTTCCTCCCCACCGCTCCGAAATCCTTCCTGATCTCAGGCCGTATGTAGGTCACAGTCACTAGGGTGCTTCGCTCTAATCCCTGCATGTGGGGGATTGAAATAAACAACACAGACAGCCTGCGACGTCCCAGGCACTGGCCGTGGGGAGAGCGTCTTCTCTGGTCTGGAGGTCTGGAGGGGTCATGGGACTTAGGGGACCCCAAACCCCTCTTTCCGCTTCTCCCTCTTTGCAGAGTGAAGGCGCGCTTGGTCCTACTGGCTGACAGTGATGCCGAGTCGTCCAGCGCTGGCTCCTCCGATGAGGAGGACCTCCCGACCATGGAGCCCTCCGGGATCCCTGGGGAGAGGAACGCCACCCCTGGAGTCGAAAGGTAAAGCCCACCGAGGGCGCGCCGGAGTGCCCCCTCTTTTCTCATCTCCTTCTTCCCAGCCTCGTTCCTGCCTGGCATCTCTGAGAACTGTCCTTCTGGGTGGGGCCAGGCAAAAAAAAACACCTCTTGAGGATTCCTCAGCCCATCATCCATGGCTTGGAATCTTTGGCAGGAGCCGTGAAGCATCGGGAAATGGCTCTCCGGGTGTCATTCAGAATCCACTGGATCCCTTTTGCAGTTGAGCCAGAAGCTGGCAGTGAGGGCCCCCTCAGAGGGCCCGGCCCTCCTCTTTTGCACCCAAAGAGATGGGTCAGCCCTCTCCCCCAGGTGATCTCAAGGTTAGGGACAAAAAAGGATGGCGCCCAGAAATGAGACCCTCCCGGCATTTTTTTGGCTTTTATCGATGCATGGCTTATTTTATTGCTTTGATTGGTTTTAACATGGCAAGAAGAATTAATGATGTGTCAATAGGGTGTTGACTTTGTTGCTGCTGTTTGAGTTGTGTCTGTTCTTGGGTTATGTCATCAGCAGCTTTTGAGACCCAGGCTTGGGAGGAAAAGGGATGAATGAATGGGTCTCAGGAATCGTAGAATCCTAGAATCCTGGAGTTGGAAGCGGGGGTCTCTCTAAGGCCATCGGGTCCAACCGCCCCCCCCCGGGGTCTCTCTAAGGCCATCGGGTCCAACCCCTCCCCCTGCTCAAGGCAGGGATCCCAATCCAAGCAGATCTGTTGCCCAGCTGCCCTTTGAAGGCCGCCGGGTCTCTCTAAGGCCATCGGGTCCAACCCCTCCCCCTGCTCAAGGCAGGGATCCCAATCCAAGCAGATCTGTTGCCCAGCTGCCCCTTGAAGGCCACCAGCAATGGAGCGCTCGCCACCTCCCAAGGTCAAGGGTCCCATCGTTGTACTGCTCTAACAATTAAGAAGTACGACCAAGGAACTTACTATTAGTAGGCTTAAGAGGCTGGCTGAAGGCATGCCTGGGTTAAACTGGGTTCTTTCCTCAAATAAATGGTTATAACTCAACCCACACTTGCTGAGTAACCGGTTTGGGGCAGCTGCTTTGGGACTGTGTGATAAACACACCTTGACTTGGGGCAAGTCCCTCCCCCCCGGCTGTGATTTTGTTGACCCACGAGGCCCACCGTCCTTGCCCTTCTTAGCCACCTCGGCGGCAACAGCACCAGCCGGAAGATCTTGCGCTTCGTGGACAAGATTGCCAAGTCCAAGTACTTCCAGAAGGCCACGGAGAACGAGTTCATCAAGAAGAAGATGGAGGAGGTCTCCAACACCCCTCTGCTGCTGACGGTCGAGGTGCAAGAACTGACGGGCACGCTGGCGGTCAACATCCCTCCACCCCCGACGGATCGGGTCTGGTAAGAGCCGAGACAGGGAACCGACCTGGCGTGGTTTTATGGAGGGTTTCCCGGTGGACCGGTGGGTGATGGGCCAGGTCAAGACCCGGTAGATCCGGCGTGCGTCCTCTGCAAAAGCTAGCTAGGTCTCCTTGAGGGAGTTTATTTCAAGACCACTGGCCACGAAGCGGACTTGTTAAGTCAACCCTTCTATAAATCCCATTGATGCTATGGGTCTGTTTTCCGCTGGGATTCAGAATTGGATTTGGCCTTTCACTGTTCACATTATGCTTCATTGCTTAAATCTCCATGACTTCAGTTATATTAGGTCTCTACAATACATTGTAATTATATTCGCCCGGTCTCTCTTTCCTCCCTCCCTCTGTACGTGTGAATATAATTCCACCGAGCCATTGAGTATATTGCTTTGAGGTTCGTTTGCCGAGAAATGGGTGGAAAATCCTAGCTGGATTCTAGGCCTCCAAAGTAAACTTCTTCAAGCTGTTTATTGGGGGAGCCTTCTCCATAAATAGTTTTTTTCTCATGGAGAAAGAAGGAACAGGGCAGAACAGAGCGGGAGGCCCTGCACCCAAGTTCATCCTTTATCTTGGGGGGGGGGAGTCATCCTTAGGACTGGATTAATTTGGAATGGATACACGATGGCAATTCCAGAGGGGGAAGGAGGTCACCCGTCTTCTCTGTGGTCTTTAGGTACAGCTTCCGGGTCCCACCTCAGCTGGATCTGAAGGTCCGCCCGAAGCTGGGAGAGCGGGAGGTCACCTTCATCCATGTCACCGAATGGATCGAGAAGAAGCTTCAGCACGAGTTCCAGGTAGCTGTTTGCCGATGGCTGGGTAGGGTGTGTGTGTTATGTGTTGGGGAAGCACCCGGGAATAGGTCAGCTGAGCACAGAGAGGAGATTTAGCCCAGTTAGAAAAAAACGCCCAAGAAATCAGCTGCCCCTTTGGAGCACAGAGAGGAGATTTAGCCCAGTTAGTAACACGCCCAGGAAATGAGCTGCCCCTTCAGTGGAATGGGAGCTTCTTGCTTAGACAGCTTTTTAAAGAGAACCAGGCCCAGGAGGGCTCGGTCTGCGGCGGTGAGCAAAGGTCCCGATCAACTTGACGGCACAATGCCTTCGGATCCATCAGTCCAGCCTCTGACTCCCAACGGGCAGCAATGCAACTGAACCAGGCCCAGGAGGGCTCGGTCTGCGGTGGTGAGCAAAGGTCCCGATCAACTTGACAGCACAAAGCCTTCGGATCCGTCAGTCCAGCCTCTGATTCTGACGGGCAGCAACCCAGCCGGGCTGCAGGAAAGAACGTGGCTTGGATGCTGGAGACCAGACTTGGGGGAGTCTGCCTTCCCCCTTGGACGTCTGGCCCCCATAAACTCCAGCCCATCTCTCCACGGAGGGGACAGACAAAGGGCACAGCTAGCCAGCCGCTAGAGGTAGAGCTTGGGCATATATTTTTTTGGCTCCTAGGACACTGGGAACAATATCGAAAAAGGTAACACTAGGAAGCTTTGATTAGAACTGAGCGGAAAGCGTGGCCTTGCAGGTTTGAGAAATCGGACATTAAAGGACTCTTCGGCTTATGTCTTGAAGACATGAGCTGTCCAAGGTGCTGGAGATGTTATGAAGGATGCACATGGTCTTGTGCCACCCATGTAAACAGCGGACTAAAAACCACAGTGGATTCACCCCCACCAACGTCCACTGGGGTGGGGTGGGCATAGAAGGTGTTCTGAGACCACCCATGGAAGGAGATGGGGGGGGTCGATGGCCAGAGGTAGCAGGTGGCTTTTCCATCTGGGGAGACCCTTCCTCTGCTCCCCCAGCCCCACCAGGCAGCCGTTGCCACCACCGCCACTTGCTCGCTCTCTCTTTCCCCAGCTGAGAAAGTCACTTTAACCCGATGAACTTTCTCAAGGGATCTGTGCCGGCCCGTCCTTTGGCAGGATAGATCTTTTAACGCCGTTTCCCGTTCTCTTTCCCAACAGAAAATTTTGGTGATGCCCCATATGGATGACCTCATTTTGCCCCTCATGCACCCCGGTTGGGAATCTCAGCTGCCGGCCGAGGAACTCCGAAAGGATCCCCCCAGGGAGGAGGTGAAGGCCCCCTGAGGAGGCGCCCGCTGGCGGTCTTTTCGGCCCCAAAGGTGTCCGGTGCGTTTCGCCAACGTCGCCGGTGCCCGCAAAGAACCGAACCGTCACCTTCAAGCCATACTGCTGAGCGTCGTCCTCTCGGCTCAACGCCTCGGCGTGTTCACAGCCTCGACAAGTGAACGTTTTGCTGATCTCTGATGGCCGAGAGGCGCTGTTCCAGGTCGCCGAGGGCTCCGGCCTTGTCTCCAGCCGGCCCTTGGGTCCTTCCAGCTCCAACGAGAAGTTGTTTTGTGTAAGACCTGGGTTGCCTTTACCAAGAGGAACATAAGCAGGAGAGATTCAGCAGCCACCGAGTCTCTGACGTTTCTCTCTAGGTTCTGTCTTTGCAAATAACATCCATATTAAACAGATCTCATTGAAATGCCATAAAACTGAAGAGATTCTCACTGAAGGCATGAAATCTTTCCTAGTTTTTCTAGCTTGAGTAAAATGCTGTTACTTCCACCCAGCGTTGTTTCTGGGCCACAGGGACTAGTAACTTGGCCCCTAATCTTCAAGCGGTTCCTACTCTTTCCTCTCCTTTCCTGCTCTACGCTCTAAAGTCAGAGGGTTAACAAGAGGAGTTATTTCTTCTGTGAGAAACATGCAATAAAAGATCCAGCATTGCCCAGAAAATATAAAGCAACCTTTTCAGGAAGCAGGTTTCTCCCTGCTTAGAAGCAAGGAGAGGCGGCACTGGAAATCACACTGCTAAATGTATCATCTTCTGAATAAGCAGGGTTGAAACCATGTGGAATATTTTAAAATCAGGGCAGAGAGGTTTTAATCTAGACCCGACGTACTGTCCGTGCATCGGCCTTGTGAGTGTAAGATTTGTGAACGGTGGTGAAAATGCACAATTTTACCACCGTAGCTGGGGCATTCAGAGGCAGAAATCAGTTTCAGGGGAAGGGCTGACAGATATTGTCATTTATTGCTGCAAGGCTGGAAAATTATCTCAGGAGGCAGCCACAACTTTGCGAGTTGGAGAGTAATGCCAAGTATCCATTGTAAAAGACTGAACCTGTTTTTCTTACGCTTTGGGGCAAATCCCAGCTTTGCCATTCATAGGAGTTGTAAATGGAAGTTTAATTACATATCTTAATGTGAGGCTTTCTCCCGAGGCTCTGCTAATTTGCTTCCTTTTGTTCAGCGGCTGGTCACTAGGAGACAAAGAATCAGCCTTGTTTCTCCGGTTAATGGTGATGATACACAGTTTTCCAGCTTGTCTCCAGAGAGGTGAGGTTTTATCACTTTCTAATTGCGCGTTAGCTGCCTTCTATAGTTTGGTCCAAAGATTCAGAATGCTGTTTCTGTCTAATTCATGGAAAACGTCTGGGCTCAGATGCAAATGGGCTCAAGAGGTGGCCCTTCCTCTCTCACTCAAGTTATAACCTTCCTCGGCTGGCCTTCAACCCATCCACCCGCCTAATTCCTGTCTCTGAACCACTGTTAAACCCCCAGAGTGGTGAAGCTTAAAGATAACCAAAAACTGGGCCAGCCACTCCACGGGACCGCATGAAGGGGCCCCCGTTATGAGACTGTTTGATCCTCCATGCAATAAATGATTTTAACAAAGCAATAGCGATGGACAGGTTGAGAACAATGAGCTAGTCGTGTCGACCAAAGGGCTTAGCAAACCTTGGGTAATGTATTAGCCAGAGGCAACCAGAAATGCTGAAGAAGGCAAAGGAAAAATAAAGGTTTGCACCAAACTTTAAGAGTGTCTTTTTCTAACCCCCTATCCCACTATTCCTCCAATGTAAATCATAGCATTTCTTCTACATTGTCTGCTGGAAAATCTAACCAAGCACAGTTTGTGCATTAAGGGGTGTGACCACATCCGGGACCACTTACGGAGTGGCTCTGTTCAATATATTTCCCGGGGATCACCGGGCGTCAGGGGAACTGCGCTGCAGCCCAATCAAGCCCTGATCCCTGCCCAAGATTAACCGTTTTTATTTCAGTGTGAGCACCTGTGTGTGTGTGAGAGAGAGAAGCCTGCAAGGATAGTCCTTACCCACTGGGGAAGCCTGGGATTCAGACAGATCTCTTGAGGGTCACCCGATCAAGTAAGCACCCACTTTTCCCTGGGTCAGGGGTCCGTAACACATGTAAAACCCTGGAAAGGTTTCAGAAGCTGCTTGCAGAGAGCGGCTCCCACTGGAGAACACCACACTAAGTAGCACGTCTGTTTCTGAATTTTAATGTTTGCAAACACCTAAAGCAAGAAGAAGGGAGGAAGATGCTGGCGCTGCGAGGATCTTGGAAGAAACCGCTCATGGTTCCTCCGTAGTCTCCACCTTTCCTTTCAGCAGGTGCTTCTTCTGCGGGCCCTGAAATGAGACAACCCAGAAATGGCCACACAAGTGGAAGGCACAGAGCAAAAGGCAGGTCACAGCCAGGGCTCCGATGGGATGTACAGAAATTATGCCCCCGGGGGGGGGGGCTACATCGGGGCCTGCCTTCTTTGCCCACGGAAGCATCTTGTGAGCACAATGCCTAGGAAGTCTCCATCATCAGCGAGCAGCTGTTGGCCAACCCTTCCTCTGTTCCTTCGCCTTGCTGTTCAGGTCTCGCCAGCCATGATCTTTGATCATGGGGATGGGGAGGAAAGCAGAACACGGGCCGCCACCGCCCACCACCCCCGGCCACCCAGGTCCATGTCGCGGCCCCAGCTGGGTGCACGGCGCCAGGACGGCCCTGCTGAAATTGCCGACGGTGCCCAAAACGGAGTGCCCTGCCCCAACGGGGTGGTCCGAAACTCACCATGAACGCTCGCTTCTCTTGGGCCGTCTGGAAGCGCCCGTGGCCGAACTTGGAGGTGGTGTCGATGAACTTCAGCTCGACCGGCTCCACGGCCCTTCGGCTTCTGTGCACGAGCAGAGACTGCAAAGGAAGGCATCGGTGAAAGGCACCCGCCAAGTCCAGGGAGCGGATCGTTTGCTGACTCCGTGGCCAGACCTCCCGAGAGCTTATCTCTGGCCGGACTCCCGGGTTCCTAATCATTGCATTTTTGCTAGAGAACCCAGGAACATTTAGACAGGGCTGAGAGAGGAAAGACATGCCAAGTCCACCTTGTAAGTGGGAGCTCTCTGCTGGCATCCAGCCCTGTTGCCTTCATCCGCCTGGCGGATGTGTCGGCCTCCCTCCGCGCCCAAAATTGTCCTCCTCGTGGTAACGCGGGGCTCACCTTTCGGAGCGTCAGCACCCGCTTCTTGGTGCCCATCACACACCCCTTCACCATCACAAAGTCATTGTTGACTTCTCCATAGTGAGGAAACCCGCCCTGTGGGCAGAAAAGGCCGGTGAGCGCAGAGGAGACACAAGCCAGGGGCTGCAACCGTCAAGAGCGCCGGGCAAGATGAGGAGTTAGGAACGAAGAAGCATCAGAGGTGCAGCAAGGAACAAGTGTGCTGGACCGAAAAAGCTGGACTGGTCGGGGGAAGACGTGATCGGTGGACAGGGAGACCCGAGCACCTTCTCCCCTCCTTGTCGTTTCTAACCTGATACTTTCTCTTAACATTAAGCTCAATCCCAACTCCAACACTAACCCCAAACTTTGATTAATATAGTTGCTCAGGTGACCCAGAGGGTAATTGTGTCCATGTTTACCCACCGATGACCAGTCAAAAACAAAGCATGCTAGAATGCAAGATACACAGATGAGGAAGAGCACTTGGTGTGACAAACAGACCTCTTTAGCATTTAAGGGAGCACCCCTTCTAGCTATGCAGTAAGCATCTTGTCTAGTTCAACCTTTGGTCACCATTCAAGAAGTTTGTGTGGTAGGGCTACTGAAAGCTTGCCCCAACAGTCCCAGGGGCACAGGATTCAGGCCGGTTTGGGAGTGATGAGTAGAAAACCAACCAATCTGTAAAGGTCTGAAACCTCAGTTCCAGATCCTGCCCTCCTGCCGCCTCTTACCAAGGGAGTAACGGTCTTCTCCGTTGGGTCGTAATTGGTGGCGCCGTTGTTCCTCACCACTTTGCCATCTTCTGTGTGGACCCCACGGCCAATGCGGTAGATCTAGAACAAGCAAAAGAGGGAGGCATCCGCAGGCGTTTCCCAGACATGCAGGAGAAGGAGAGCAGATTCACTCAAAGCTGTTTAAAGAAACCATTTGGGGATTCTTTGCCACCATGAGGACTAGTCACTTGCTTTCAAAAGTGAAATGGTCTGAAGCTCAACATAAAAAAACCCCTAAGATCTAAGATCATGGCAACTGGTCCCATCTTCCTGTGGAAGACAGGAGGGCCTGCCGTGCTCTGGTCCATGGGGTCATGAAAGAGTCGGACACGACTTAATGACTAAAGAAAACAACATAAAGGTGGACACGACGTAACGACTAAACAACAACAACACAAAGGTGAAAAAACACATTTGTTTGGTATAACTTTTTTGCTGTGGGCTGGTGCTGTGCAACTCCTAGAGGTCTGGATGTTGTATTCACGTGCCCTGGTTCAAAACGTGGAAGAATGCCACCCAGGGCACAGTGTGACTTTTTGAACCCTTCTGCTCCCTCCCCCTCCCAAACCAAGCGAAAATTGCTAAGAAGAAGTGTGTGGGGTGCCGGTGGTGGCCACGAGACCCGTTGGCCGGGTGCACACTGTCTGAGCCCTGTCCTACGAGGCCCTTGATCCCCCCATGGAAATAGGGGGCGAGATTTGCTGTTGAGGGTCCCCAGGCTCAAAGGAACAGGATGGAAAAGGAGAGAGAGAGATAGATAGATAGATAGATAGAGAGAGAGAGAGAGAGAGCAAAGCAAGCCGTACTTTCTTGTTGAGTTCTGTGCGGTGATGGTAGCCCTTCTGGCCCGCCCGGGCAATGGAGTAGCCCACGCGAGCAGGGTGCCAGGCCCCGATACAGGCCACTTTCCGCAGCCCTTTGTGGGTTTTCCTTGGAAGCTTCTTGGTGTGCCACCGACTCGTCACCCCTGGAGAAAAGAAGGACCCCAGATTATGGAGATGGATGGTGAGTTCCCTCGACCATGACAGAAGATACGGTTTAGACCCGGAGCAGCAAACCTTCGGCATCTCAAATGTTGTGGACTACAACACCCATAGCCCCCTACCATCTGCCACCCTGGCTGGGGATTCTGGGAGTTGCAGTCCGAAGCATCTGGTCTAGACTACTTGAGTAACAATGAGGACTAGCAGCTTGTTTCTCAAAAAGATCCAGGGACCGAGCTTTATCTTCCAGGCCTGCATGTTGTGTTCTGCGAATACACCTTGTAAGCAAGCAGCCCCCCACTTCCCCGCTTCCCCCCTTCCTTTCTTCTCCAAGCCTACACACAGGTCCTTTCCTGCTCAGGACCTCGGTCAGCATCCTTTCGCACCTTTCATCCCGTGGCCCTTGGTGACCCCGATCACGTCGATCATCTCATTCTGGCTGAAGACCGTCTGGACAGGAACCTGCTTCTCCAGCCTCTCGTGGGCCCAATCCACCTTGTCGGCCACCGTTCCCCCGTTCAGCTGGATCTCCATAATGTGAGCCTTCTTCTGGCGCAACGGCAGGAGCTTCATCTGCAATCAAAGCGGCCCCGCATCCCGGCAGGCAAAAACAGGAATGCGCGGGTGAGCGTCAAGGGCGGGTCTAAGGAACGGGGGTCTCCCAAAGGTTGTGGGACTCCGATTTCCCATCAGCCCTCATCCATGGGGAGAATGGGAAGTGTAGTTCATCAACATCTGGGAAGCAAAGGTGTCTCTCTATCTGAAGGGTTCGCAACCTTGGGTCACCCAGATGTTCTTGGGACTGGAACTCCCCAAAGCCTTCACCACTAGCTGTGCTGGCCAGGATTTTTGGGAGTTGTAGTCCAAGAACACCGGGGCGACCCAAGTTTGGGAACCACTGCGCTGTCCTAATACACAGCAGAATGGGAAGGTAGAGAAGTGCGAGGGATCCCAACTCTAGGACTGTAGGGAAGGGCGAGGTCATGAGCAAAAGGCATTTTCTCCCTGCTCAGAAGGACTACTTAACCCCAAATGATGTGGGATAGCAATGGTTCCCAACTTAGTCACCAGTAGAACACAACTCCCAAACACCCTTTTTAAAAAGGTTTTTTTTTTTACCAACAGGACTCTGTAAGAGACGGGAAGTGTAGAAGTTACAAAAAAAAAACAACAACAGTGGAAACCAATCCACGGTTTTCCACCAAAGGCAGATGCTTCGAAAGCAACCAAAGGTGGGACATGAAAGATAATCCCAAATATTTAGGGGGTGGGGTTGTTCCCTAAAGCAGCACACCCACATTACAGCTTGAATTGGCTTTCCATCAGTTTAAACTTTCCATCAGCTTAAACCCCCCGCCCGAGAACCCTTAGTTCAGCCCCCAAAGGCTCCTGGCTGCTGGGGATGCTGATTTGGGGCATCTTAAGATCATCCTCCTGTATAAGTGGCGCCAGGCACAGGTTCAGATTTCCCGGCACATCCCCTGCCCCAAAGGTTTACGGGAAGCGGTCACCTGCGTGTGCACAATGACCCGGATGATCTTGCAGTACTTTTTCATGGCTGCAAAATCTTTCTCCAGCTGCTTCTTCCCAGTCTCGTCCTGCCATTTCTTGCAATACTTAGTAAAGGCCTTCTTTCTGCTTTTATGCCTGGAAAGAAGAGACGGTGGTATCTACCATCAACAACAGGCCCGTGAATCCAGGGACCCCTTCAAAACACTGCACCTCTCCAGCAAGCATCAAGCGAACAGCCTGCGTGCACGTCGTCTTAAAATGCACAGACATGCAGTTCTCAACACTTTCTCTCCCTTGCCCATTCTCACATTGCAACACTCCCACCCTCTCTTCCTTCTGTGTGTTCCCCCCTCTGTCGCAGGGCGGTTTCGCCTGCTTCATCCTCCACCCTTCCATTGTTTTGGCAAAAATTAATAAATAAGGGAGGGAGGGAAGGAAGGAATGAACGAACGAAGGGACAAAATATTGCAGGACATTAAAAACTAAGAGATTTATGTCACTATGAGCTTTCATGTGTCAAAAATCCATTTCCTCACACATAAAAGCGGCAGATATACCTCCTCTATATCTATACATACCCCCCGGTGGTGGCAATTATGACCTTGCGTCTGAAGAAGTGGATTTTAATCCATGAAAGCCAACACTGAAACAGATGTATTGAAATGCCATTCTATTTCACCTCTTTTCTTTTTCCTTTTCATTTTGCCCTTTAATTTTGCTGGCATGATGAAGGAGAGCAACACAGCTACAGTGGTGCCTCGCATAGCGATCGCTCCGTTTTACGACAAAATCGCTTTGCGATGGACTTTTTGTCATCGCAAGAGTGATCGCTTTGCGATGGCCCCTATGGGGAAAATTCGCTTTGCGATGATCGCGGGGAAGCGATCATCGCAAACGCCCCGTTTTCACACAGCTGATCGACGGTTCCAAAATGGCCACCAGAAAAACAAAATGGGGACCGCTGTTTTGCCTCGCTTTAGAGGCACTGAAAATGGCCGTCCCTATGGAGGATCTTCGCATAAGGTCAGTTTTTAAGCCCATAGGAACGCATTAAACATGTTTTAATGCGTTTCTATGGGCTTTTAAAAATCGCTTAGCGACGAAATCCCTTAACGACGTTTTTCCTGGAACGGATTAACGTCGCTAAGTGAGGCACCACTGTATTTCTTTGGGGAAATTTCCCATCCCTCTCTCTCTCTCTCTCTCTCACTCACCAGTTCTTGTAGAAGCGTCTTCTGCACTCGTCGCTGATGTGCTCGGCAAAGATGGTCTTGAAATTCCTCAGCCCTCGAGGGGTTTCAATATAGCCCACCAGGCCGACCACCACCATAGGCGGGGTCTCGATGATCGTGACAGCTTCCACCTCTTCCCTTTTTGAAACCTCTGAAAGGCACACGGAGGAGAAGAAGCATATAACACAGAGGACGCAGACGGCGCAAACAGAAACTTTGCTTCCGGGGGAATATGCAATGTCGGACAGCCGAAGAACAGCGATGTTTTGTCGGATCTGGAAAATCTCTACATTCCTAAATACTTTTTTAAAAACAGCCAGCAACTCACAGAGGAGGCAGGAAGGAAAAAGGGGACTAGATGGCAAAGTGGGGACTCCCATTTCATTTACAGCTTGCATTTCTTAATTGCTGCAGGCGTTCTTGGTGCTTTGCCTTTTAGCTGTTTTTATATTTGATGTTTTACGTTCTAACTACATTTGTTTTATCTGATGCCAGAGAATGGTCCTTAGAGAATACATATGCAACAGCAGGCGGTCCCTTGATTCAATAATAATCAAGTTGAGCCTGCCAGGGTGACCCTACCCAGGGTTTTCCCGGTGGAGGGAACACGCAGAAGTGGTTTCCCATTTCCTTCCACTAGCTGGCGCTCTGGGACTGCGCAGATTGCCCAAGGCTGCCCAGGCTGGCTCGTCCCACCCAGAAGCCGAGTGGGGGAATCGAATTCCCAACCTCTAGCTCCACAGGCAGGGACCTCAATCCCTGAGCCCTCCAGCCAGGTAGCAGCCCTATTACATCAAGCAAAAATGCAACCTCGTCCTTAACACCGAAAGGCTCGTTTCCCCTTTAGGAGGAAAACCGGTGCCAAGAAGGACCCTTGTCACTTACTGAGCCCAGGCCTGTAGATTTCCCGCAGGATGTGGGTCATGCCAGCTTTGTAGCCCAGGAAGGCGGTCAGGTGGACGGGCTTGCTCGGGTCATCCTTGGGCCACGTCTTCACCTTCCCTCGGTGGCGTCGGCTCCTCTTGTGAGGAAGGAAACCCAGGTGCCCGTGGCGAGGAGCGGAGAACTTGCGGTGAGACTGGGAAGGGAATTTGAAAAAGGAGGATGTCGAAGATTCCTGTGCTTCCCTAAAGACGACACCATATGGACTAGGGTTCCGAATCCCCGCTTGTTCTAGAAAACTCACAAGGCAACCTCGTCCCGTTTGCACTCTCTCCGTTTGACCAACCTCGCAGGCTTGTTGCGAGGATAAAGGAGGCACAAAGCTGGCTGTGACAAAGTGGGGTAATAGGTAAATAAATAAACGTCTAAGTTCCCCCCCCCCCCGGGTTAGGTGCCAGACAGCAGCTTCTGGTCTGGGTCCAGCCCAAGGCTTTCTACCGCCCGAGGCAGAAGGTACAAACTGGGCTGGCCGGGCAGTCGAGTTTCCCTTCAACAGTGGAAGTGGAAGACCTCAGAGGGCTTTCTTCCCTGCCCCCCCCCCGGACAGAGGGTTGTAAGACAGGCTAAGCTATGGCACCCCCCAGCTCTGCCCCCTGAGAGCTGAAAATAGTTAGGGCCTGGTGGGGATTCTTGGAAGGCGGCCATTCCACCCATGTGCCCATGGGCAGCCTTGCAAAGCACCCGGCAGTGTCCGGCTGTGCCGTCCGAGAAGCACAAAACCTGGGTGTCCGTCGCACCGGCTGCCAGCCCCA